GGAATGAAAGAGAAAGAGAAAGAGAAAAAGGAAAGAAAAAAAGGAAGTAGAGAAAACAGGGAGCCTATATTCTTCAGACTTTCAGAATAGAAAGAAAATGTTTAGGCACGCGACGCGTAAGACGACTACCCGCACGCAGACATTTTACCTATTTTGCTGAGATGGGAAACAACGCGAGAACTTAAGGAAGAGTATATAACCAAGACGTGCCATATATATATATATATATATATTGCCTAGCAGGTTAGCTTTCTCACTCGGCACAAGCTGATTTATTTTACGCCGACAACCGAGTGCCGCCTACAATTTCCAAAAGTCAGCAACACGCCTCCAGAGTAGGCGCGTCTCACAAATATGTATATGTATATACATATATAGGTATTTATGTATATGTGTATGCATTTTTACGTGTATATATAATGGTGTAATAAACGTGAGATAGGTTAGTATTCAGTAGTCATCCATATAATTGTTATGACCCACAGAGAGAGAAATCCAGAAATTGGAGTCCAATTTTTTCGATTCCGTTTTGTTTTTTTATCATTTTTTCTTTTTTATCCCTTTTATTTTCTCTCTCTCTCTCTCTCTCTCTCTCTCTCTCTCTCTCTCTCTCTCTTTTATGCTTTCTTTTATAAGTATGCGTGTTCGTCGCGTGTGAGGATGATTTTTTGTTGTTTGTTTCGTGGATTTTTTTATTTCTTTCTTTTTATTATTTTTTAATAAACTTTGTATAACTCTCGTTGAATTGAGAAATGATTAAATTTATTGATTGAATTTCCTGTATATTATAGTTAGAGGTGTTGAGAAATAACGCCGATCAATGTATCTACGAGTTTTATCAGTTTCACTCGTTTCATTGAAATGAACATTATTATATTGGTATATATATGTATATAGATAGATATTATATATTATATTTTATATAATATAGATATATAGATATTATCATTAAGAATTGAAATGTTCTTTCCTACATTGATGTAATCAAGAATGGTTAAACGCTTAACATTGGAAACGGTAGATTATTACGGGACAGTGATTTCAATTTTTCCTTCGGCTTCGTTGAAATTAAAGTAAGATAGATAGATAGATAGATAAAAATGATAATCAGAGAAAGAGATTTAAAAAAATAGTGAGAAAGGTAGAAATAGTCAGATAAAGAGAAAGAGAGAGAGAAAGAGTTAGAGAGAAAGAAAAATCGGTAAAAAAGTAATTCGATGCATTATAATTGGATTAGACTCGCGCATAGATTTATGCTTCACCCATACCTCTTTCTATCTCTATTTCTCTTTCTCTCTCTCTCTCTCTCTCTCTCTCTCTCTCATTAAATTTAATTCGTAACGATACTCTTTCAAAATGCGAAATGAATTTTCGGCTACAATAATTCCAGACAGCATATTGAGAAGCACATTATTTTAAGTAATCCCATTAGTACGTTCCCACATCATGCTGTTTAATTACACTGTTCCGCTCCGCCCTACGGCCGCTCGCGGAAGGACATTTATGAATTCTCGTTTACCAGAAAAAATGAAAGCTCTCATTCTTTTTTTTTTTATTCTTTCTCTCTTTCTCTCTCTTTCTGTGATTGTGAACAAGCGCTTATAGAAAAAGGTTAAAAATACGTACTTCGAATGCGTTTTCAGAATGGTAGGGGTTTTAATAGCGTATAGATGAATATTTCTCTTTCTCTCTCTCTCTCTCTCTCTCTCTCTCTCTCTCTCTCTCTCTCTCTCACTCACTTACTCATTCTTTATAGAAACATATATAAACGTACTTTCTTCCTCACTCTCTCTCTCTCTCTCTCTCTCTCTCTCTCTCTCTCTTTCTCTTTGTCTCTTTCTTTCTATAGGAAGAAATATAAACGCACTTACTTACTTTCTTTTTCTCTCTTTCTACTCATTTTTTTTTTTCTTTTTCTGTCTTGTTTTGTCTCTTTATCTCTCTCCTTCTCTATCTATTTCTCGTGCATACGTCTCTCTATTCTTCCATAGAACGCATTTATTTTCTACGAAAATATAAGTGTGTTTATTTTTTCTTCTACCTACTTATTCTTATATTTTCATTCTATTTTATTTTTCATTTCGTTCATTTTTGCTTTGTTTTTTTTTTTTTTTTTTTAAATATCTTTCCTCTTCTTCCTCCTTCATCCTTTTTTTTTCTTTTCATTTCATTTCATTTCATTTCTTTTCTTTCCTTTCCTTTTCTTTCCTTTCCTTTATCCAAGCAAGTTCATTTTCTTTTATCCCGTTCCTCATTTGATCCAAGCGCGGGAATGAAAAAAAAAAAATTTCCAATACAATATTAAAGAACGTTGCACTTAACTATCAAAATACAAAATAACAACACTGTGCGTGAGTATTCCAGGATAAATGTTTAAAGTAAAAAAATTCTTTACATTTATATAGCTAACTTTGAATAATCGTATATGTTAAATCTAAAATATTTCTTTTCTCGTTTTATCTTTATCTCTATCCTTATCTCTCTCTTTCTTACTTTCACTTTCACTAATACATTATATATTGTTCATTTTATTCTTTTTATTTCAATTTTAAATAAGTATTATATATGTAACCACACAGGTAAAGACAAATAATAATTCTTACGAGTTTCCGTTTTCTTTTGAAATTAGTAACGTCCATAATATCTTCACCTTGTCGTCACGTGCCTAACTTTGAGTTAAAACAAGGAGAAACGAGAATAATACCACCAAACTGGTAAAGGTAGAGAAAGAAAGATTAAAATAAAAAGAAAGAAAAAGAAAAAGAGAAGAAATAAAAGTAGGAAGAGAGTAGGAGGCCTCGTGAGGTATGTCTGAAAAAGGAGGAGGAGAAGGAGATGAGAGGAAAAGAATGAGAAAAAGGTGAATGAGAAAAAGAAGGGGAATGAAAGATGCCGTAAAGTCGTCAAAAGTTTTCAGAATCGGACATAACTTTCCACAGTCGGAGAAGACCTTTCTCTTTCTTCCTATCTTTCTCTTTCTCTCTTTCTATTCTTCCATATAACGAGAATACAATCCCTTCCGTTTGTTTTTGCGATGTCTGCCCTTTATCCCTTCCATTCCTACTTACCTTCCCATTTCTTCTACCTCTATCTATCTCTCTTCTTTTCTTTTCTTTTCTTTTTCCTTTTTCCATCTTTTCCTTTTTTCACTCTTTTACTTTGCTCTAATCTCTTATTTATACTGAAAGTAGGATTATATATTTATGCTTTTAAAACGTACGTTATAAGGAGATAGATTTTTATTCTTTTTATTTTTTATGTTTAATACACATTGTGTAATTATTTTATTTGTTTTTACTTTTCCCTCCCTCCCTCTCTCCCTATCTTATTTTTCTTATAATTTTTAAACATTTATGCATAATAAAAAGAAATAGTAAAAATATTGCAGATGATTCCATCTGATTGTTTCTAATTTTCCTAATTTTCCTCTTAACGTCGTAACGTGCTCCAAAACGTTTGTATGTGTGTTTTATCCGTGTTAATGTGAGTGTGTGTATATCTATACGAAAGAAAGAAAGAGAAAGAGAAAGAGGAGAGACCAAGATCATTAGTTAAAAACGTCAAAGACAACGACCGAGAATTTACCCTCTCTCGTCCCTTTCCCTTCATTTCAAGCCCTCGGCCCCGGTCTCTCACATCAGTACAGTTAGTTGCACTTCGCACAATTTGTTTTCGCCAAACGAAATTACAAGGAATCGAGGAGAAGAAAACTAGGGTTTAAGGGGTGGTGAGTGAGGAGGGGGAAGGACGAGGATAACCATTTTCGAGAAAGCTTGATTTTATTTTTCTTTTCTTATCTATATTTCCTTCTTTTCTTTTTTTTTTTTTTAATTTTCTTTATACATATATATATATATATATATATATATATATATATATCTCACTTTCTCTTATTTCTTTGTTTCTGGATATTACATTGACCCGTTCGTTAGTTCTGGTTGTGAAAGTCCGTTCTCGTAATTAGAGATAAAATCATATAATGTCATTATCTTTTGAATTTTGAATTAACAATAGAGTGATCGAACTCTTGGATAACGTCGTCCCATTCATACTAAATTTTGTCGATTATTTGTATGCAAACTATCTTGTGAAAGAATAAGAATAAGAATAAGAAGAAGTAGAAGTAGAAGTAAAAGTAGGAAAAAAAAGAGCATGAGAGAAAGAAAAATTCGATGGTACGACTAAGGGTGGTGGGTGTCAACGTGATAGAAAGTCTATCTATTTTCAATGAAATGAGGTCATTTTCTTTTCGATTTTCTCCCACAGAAGTATGGAAAACTACCCCTTTTTCGACATATCAAAGTAGAACTACTCGATTACTACTCTGTTTGATTTTACCGAAAATAGTGATCAATGGATTATCGGGTCTTCTTTTATATATGTATATATTATATTTATATCTTATCCTTGTAAAAACCATAAAGGTATTTAAATAATAACGATATGCATGCTAATATTTATAGATATTATTTATTATTCATACGATTCAAAGCAACATCATTTATTCAAATATATTTAATGGTTTGTCATTTTATTATTCATAATATTAGTAATAATTGAAATATATATGTATGTGTATATAATGGTTTATTATTCTATTATTAAAGTAAAATAAGAGATAAGAATATTGTTTAAAATCATAAATTCACAATTAGATGGAAATTAAGAAAAAAAATCTACACATCTGTAATAATGGTATTTTATTATTATATTAATATACTTCAATCTATTATAATAATAATAATAATAATAAGAAAAATAAGTAATAATAAGAAATAAGCTGTGTCTATGTGTGTATATATATATATATATATATATATATATATATATATATATATATATTATAAGATAAAAATATTAATAAAAGAAAATTGATAGATAGATAAATAGATAAAGACAATTAAAGGGTAAAAAGGTAAGAAAAATGTGAGTATGTGTGTCGTGTTAGGTTAGCGGTGAGAGCGTATGATGAAAACGGTAATGGAGATTTGTATCATCAGGGTTGTGCCGTTGAATATTGGATACGCGGGACGGAACGATGATATTCTCTTCAAACTATGCAGACCAAGTTTAGAAAAGTGATATCGCCTTCGCAGTTGTGTAGATGGAAAGCAGTGTTGGAAAAAGGTGGTACCAAAAGTGGGTGGAAGAAGAAGGAACATGAGGAGGAAGAGAAGGAGAGGAAAAGAAGAGGAAGAGGGAAAGGAGGAGAAGGAGGAGGAAAGGATATTACGTATTTCAGAATACGTATTAAATAAGTTTTGGAAAGGTAGTAGGTAGCGTACGTTGAGAGGGGTGAAGTAGTAGTTCATGACATGGATCCTTCCAAGGATAGCCGTTGAAAGGAAAGGAATATGTTCTTCTGGTTCTTCTTCTTCTTCTTTTTCTTCTGCTTCATCTTTTCCATTTTTTCTTCTTTTTGTCTTTTTTGTTCATTTTTATTTTTCCCCCCTTTTTATTTCCTTTTTTTCATTGTACATTCAAAAAGAAGAAGAAAATTTGTCAGTCCTTCGCATCTTATCGACAAGTTAAACAAAGGGAATTGAACTCGAATCGATGTATTCTAATTTTATCAGAAGATAAAAAATAAAAAAAAAAACAGAAAGAGAGAAACATATATAATATTTAATATTTATATATATATATATATATATATATATTTTATATTGACAGATATTAAATTTAAAATATATTCAATTCCAGATAAAATCGATTTCTTTTAAACATACAAATCGACGACTACTTTTACCCGGAGCATTTTTTGTTCTTTTCTTTTTTTCTTTTTCTTTTTATTTTTATTTTTATTGCATTTTAAAGCTACACCACAATACTCTTTATTCAAAGCCATCTCGATGAAACGCAAAGATGGAGAAGGTTAAACAAAAATTGAAAGAAAGAAACATCAACGATTTGGAAGCCGAATACCTTAACGAATTTTCTTGCCTTTATTTCTTTTTTTTATTTCTTTTTTTTATTTCTTTTCTTTTCTCTGCTTCTTTCTCTCTCTCTCTCTTGCTCTCTCTCTCTCTCTCTTTTTCTCTCTTTCTTTGATTTTTGATTCAAGCAAACATAGGAGCTTTATAGAATGGTTGTTCATTCGATTCGAATCTATTCACAGGAAAAGAAGTTGATCGATAGTTTATTCGCTTTTATATCGGAAAACTTGAATAGAATTTGTTCCATACTGGATGAGCTAATAATTTTTATCATTTTATACATCATTATTTTTATTTTAATTGTAAAAACAAAATTTATTAGAGAAATATTGTTGAATTAATTTAAACAAATAGAGATAATTGAAATTATTTTGAAAATGTTACAAGTTGTGTGCCGATAAGATTTTTTTTCTTTCAAAGATATTAAATGATTTACAATTAATAAAAAAAAATATATATATATATACAATTCTATTTCATGATCTATTAACAAAATTTTTTTTTATTTAAATAAACAAGAGTATACAATTATCTTTAGAGTGGTACTTGTTTCGTATCTCTATGATTTTTTCTTTCGAGGATATCGAAAAGTTAAAAAGATTCAATTTTAAAAATTATTAACAAAATCGATTTTATTATAACAATATTGTTAATTTGTTTAAATAAATAGAAGATAGAATTCTCTTTAAAATGCTAGTTGTTCCATGTCTGTACGACTTTCCATTCTGAATATATCGCCTTCGAAAGATTTCATTCACTAAACGTATAGTACAACTGTTCGTAGTATAGTAGTAGTAAGAGTAGTAGTAAGCGTGCGTAAATTCTTAGAATTTATATAGTACATTGAGCGATAATGAATGAAATTATGTAGGTCAGTAGGTTAACGTAAACGTATTAACTTTACATGGAAATATCTCAGGAACTAAAAATCCTAGAAACTTGATTTATATACCATATTAAAGGGTACATTTTTCTATATTTTTTAAACATATTCTTAATAATTAATTAACCATTTGTTATAAACAATTACTTATAAATAAATACTTGCAAACTGAATTTATTTTATTTCTTCAAAAATAAAATATGTAAATTTCGTTTAGTTTATAATATTCTATAAAGATTATTAAACAGATATAGTTTTTTTTTATTAAATAAACAATTCATGTCTTTTATTCAAAAGCGCACATCTCTGAAATTAAACGTCGTAGAAATTTGAATCAAATACCATTTTAAAGGGCAAAATTTTCTTCATTATTTTAAGACATTGTTAATAATTATATAACAATTTCTTATAAACAATTAATAATAAACAAATTCTTACAAACTAAAAATGATTTCATTTTATCAACAAGACATTCAAAATATAAAATAACGAGAAAGATCGTTAAATTAATAATTTTTAGTATCCATTATTTATATCCAAGTCTTTCCATTAGTAAGTTCCATCTTTAGAACTAAAAGTCGTAGAGATTAGAAACAAATACGCAAAGTAACTGGCGAGGTACTCTTCGTTTACCTTAGAATACGAGTTTCTCGAACAAACTTTTTCCATATAAATATATCAAAAAATAACAAAAAGATATTCAAGATGATCAAAGTTATCATACCCTACCTTATATATATTCAAACAATAACTCTTGTCATTCCCAACATTGTTACAGTTGTATCCATGAGAGTGGCAAAATGGTAAATACACCGAAGGCCTTGCTATTGGTGGTACTGGCTGTTCTGGCCTATCCAAACGATATTTTTGGTAAGTTCGAGACACAATTGTTTTTATTATTTATCATCATCATCATCATCATAATCATCATTTTCATAAAATTACATAACATCTTGAAGTTCATTAATCAAAATAAATTTATAAATTCAAGCTTAAACAGACAGACAGACGAAGAGTAATAAACATCAAAACAAACACACGAAAGAAAAAGAATTTAAAAAAGTAGATAGAGATAGAAAAAGAGAAAGAAAAAGAGAGAAAAGGAAAATAATGAAAAGGGAAGGGAAATATAATAAAGCAGGTAGAGAAAAATAAACGTCATAAGAAGACGAGAAGTGTTGAGGAAAACTCGCTAATCTACGTATTTGTGTTCGCTACAGTTAGAAAACACTTTTCTCTCTCTCTCTCTCTCTCTCTTTCTTTCTTTCTTTATTTTTCGATTGCCATTATTTGTACTTTTTTCTTTTTCTTCTCTCATTTATAAGCTTTCATCTTGTGTATGACGTAAATCGAGCTTAGCCCAGAGTCAATTACGCTAATTTGTTTTACTCTTTTTAAGTTTATCTTATTTTTTGGAGTAACAGTCTCGAAGATCTCACGGCTATTGTCGCTTTCACTCATAATACTTTTCAATCCTATTACTCTTGCTATATGAGGTAAATAGGTCAAGCTTGCCTTGCCTCGTCTTCTCCGAGGAAGTATCACGTCCTATGTCAAACTCTCTTTTCCTTCTCTCTCTCTCTCTCTCTCTCTTTCCCTTTTTATAACTATGTCTATCTCTCTTTCTCTGTCTTTCATTTTCGTGAATTTCTTATTACGCGTCACTGTTTTCCCTGCCCTTTTTAGAGCCCTTTAATTAAGAAAGCTCGCTTTTGATTCTTGTTTACAAGCTTTTAATTCGATTTTTTCAAGTGTCGCACATCCAAGAGAGGAAATATTTTTCGAAAAAATCTCGAAGAGAAAATAAATACATACTATTAAATAATTTTATCAAATTAATTACATTATTTTTCATTTCTTTTTTTTTAATAAAATTTTTATTTACATAGTATAAAGAAATGAGAGAGAGAGAGAAAGAAAGATAAAAAATGAGATAGAAGTAGTAAAAAAATAGAAAATAATCGGAATTTTCTCGTAAACGTCCCTTTTAAATTGTTGATATATACATGCATGCACTCATATATATACATATAAATGCTATATTGAAAAGGAAAGAACGTTATAGTCAGACCATCGAATTCACTTGACAGTCAAGTGAATAAATCTTGCATGGTATATGTATGTACGTTTCATAATTCATTCGTACACTCGGCACATAACATACACATACACATAAACACGTACATATACTTATTCCAAACCAAGATAAATGCAATATCAATTTACATAAAGGTTGAATTAAATATGTTAAAATAATATTTGAAAAAATAAATCAATCACATTCATATCAGAGAAAATTTCGAAAACCACTTGCAGAACTTTTAAATTCATCGTTTATATTATTTATATTTACGTGTAAATATAAGAGTTCTGTAAACGATCGGGTTCCTTCACCGGTGTTTTTTTTTTTTTTTTTGAAACGTAAATCGCATTTATTTTAAATTTCTTTTTTTATTTTTTTTTCTTTTTCCTTTTTTTCCCCCTTTTACATTTCCATTTAGGTGGCGCTTATCAACCGGAATTTTCTGGTCCTATTAAAAATTTAACGATACCACTTGGAAGGGACGCGACCTTCACGTGCCTGGTCAAACATTTAGGAGGATACAGGGTAAGTTTCTTTCATGAAATTGATCTAACAAGAAGATTCTTATATGTATGTAGAAAAATTTATTTCGATGTAAGTAAATTGTGCACTAAAGAAAAAAAAAAAAGAAAACTCAACTCGTATTATTTTATAAATAAATATTTAGTTTCATTTCTTTTTTGTTTTATTTTGATTGTTGTATTGTTTTTCTTTTGATTTACTTACAAAATAGTTATATAGATGTAGTATCAAAATTGTCGACAAAGTCGTTTTGGTCCTTCCATTCTCTGTCATTATGAGCCATATTGTTCGTCTCTCCAGTTTGAAACACAACGAGTAAGAGGACACTGTACAACAAGTATCTTCTCAAAGTTCAGGTTCTAGTTATTAAACAGAAAGTCTCCTTATACTCTAATATATATACACGTTACCTAAATATACGTAACAAATTCATTTTTTTTAATTAAATATTTATTGAATTAAAATCTACAGAAAAAAATTATTATACATTTAAAAATTATTTTCCTATCATTATATTTATATATTTATTGCATATAATAAGTTGGGCTACAAATTTCTAAATAAGGACCAAGATTATTAGGCTTTTTGTTTAAAAGAATTGGATAAAATGAAAAAATGAAATTATTACAAATTATTTGAAAATAATATACTTTATTTAATTTTATCTAAAAATGCTTTTCACTTTGTATATATATATATAGAATATTTAAAATTAATAATTATTATATTTTATAGATATAATAAATCTTTCTATAAAATGTATTTCTTTATACTATATGGATATTATAATATATGGAAGAAAAAATAAAGAGAGAGACAGAGTAAGAACTTTAAAGAGGTTCATTAGTTTAAATGAACAAACCAGAAGGAGGTATCTCGTATGTGCGTGTATTTCAATGTAATTTGTTCATAATTGTATGCGGAAAAACGAGAAGGATCTTTACTCGTTTTTCCTTGATCCTCTTTTGTGCTCCGGTTATTGACGCTCTTACATGAGTGAAAGGATCTTTAACTCAAAAAGATTATCCTGGACCTGGTAGACAAATCTCTTAGCTCTCCTACTACTTAGGTTTTATCCAAAAAGCGTTTGCCCTTAGAGCAAACTTTCTTCTTATTCTTATTCTTATTCTTCCTTCTTTTCTTTTTTTCCTTCTTTCTTATTTTATTTATTTAAGTACTTATTTATTTCTTTCCTACGGTGCAACAGGATATTTAATCAAATATACATATATATATATATATATTTGAGTTAAAGGATCATTCGTAATTTAATATCGCTGTTGATTAAGAACAATTAATATTTACTTGTAATATAAACGAATTAAAAAACATATTTCAATGTTATCAAACTTTTCAAGTAACCTCGCATTTTCAAACCCTCCCACCCACAGATCTATTCTCAATTTGTTTTTTTTTTTTTTCAATTTTATTTATATGTTGTTCGAAGCGAATTTTGATAACCTTTTTAAAATGATGTATCGCAAGTTGGAAGGTGCCATTTAAAATTTCAATGATATAGGGTTACCTGGGAGAGAGAGTTTGGGCAGGATGAAGCATAAAATTTTATAAATATTGGTTTTAAACTTCCCAACCTGTTCCTCCTCTCTCCTCCCCTCTTCTCACCCTTCCCTATACTACTTTCCTCCCCCATCGTACTATCCAAATGAACGCGTATTTTTTCTCCTGGTTCTTTTTTTTTCTTTTTTCTTTTTTCTTTTTGCTTTTTACTTTCACAATCGACGTTACTTAAAAAATCGAAAAGTTACTTTATTATGATTTTTTTCTTCTCTCTCGCAGTAAAAAGTTTCCAAAAACGTACGCACTATATAATTAACATCCATATCGTTGAAAAATATCTCAAACACGGTTGATCCAAAAATGTATAGTATTGTACATAATTAAAAATAATAACTCTAACAGGTATATTTTATTCAAGCATAATAAATCACGACAAGTTTCCTATTTGATCGTGGATAATAATTCCAAAAAATAAAAATCTTTACGTTATGAACACACGCGTATTTATGTTCCAAACAGATAGAAGATAAAATATAATCTATTCGTTGGAAGAAACAAAAATCGAGAGGAAATTTGGAAAAAAAGGAAATAATACAAATAAAGTAAAATAAAAATATAAATAAAAAAAACAAGTAGGAAAAAGAAGTAGAGAAATTTCGAAACAAACAAAAAAATATAAAATGGGGATAGAAAAAAGGAATAAAAAAACAAACAAACAAACAAAAAAAGAAAAAGAGAGTATAAAAATTTTCAATCGAGCGATCGGTAAGGATAAAACGAAAGGACGAGATGCTAAAGCTTAAGCGAGGAATGAAAAGGATTTTTCGAAATACACCAAACGATTTTCTCCTATATTTGTGTATGTGTACATACACTGTATATACATACATCAGTATATACTATCTACTACGTAGTTATTTTTCTCTTTCTCTCTTTATTTCTCTGTCATGTATCATGTAGGTATGACTGGAAATAAGAGTGAATGAGTGAGAAAGAGAGAGAGAGAGAGTGAGAGAAATAGATGATAAAAGCGTAGGTTATCATTACACGGTACTCCAACTTTAATTTCGCGTTCTGCTGATTTTTGGGCAGGTAGGCTGGGTGAAGGCCGACACGAAAGCGATACAGGCTATTCACGAGCAGGTAATAACACACAACAAAAGGATATCGGTATCTCATAGCGATCATACCACGTGGAATCTTAATATTAAGGGTGTCCAAGTGGAAGACGAGGGATTATATATGTGTCAGATTAACACGGATCCCATGAAGAGCCAGGTAAGAGATATTAGTATATTATCTTATTATCAGATGTTATCATATTTCATCATCATTATTATTTATTGTGTCATTTGTTTGTTCTCTATTTTTTCTATTTTTTTTCTTCTATATTTTTCAAAATATATGTTTTAGACAGGTATGCTGTCTATCGTAGTACCACCGGACTTTGTATCAGAAGATACATCCAGTGACGTTAATGTTGGAGAAGGTGGTCAGGTTAGCACCCACTTTTTCACACACACACACACACATCTAATAACTATATTCAATAATCCCACACTATAGTAAATGTGTAAATCCTTAAAAAAAAAGAAACATCCCATATACGTATAGAAACTTACTCTTGGCATAATTAATTTCATATACAAAATGTAAACGATTTTAATACCCTAACAAACGTAATACACGTAAAATAATATTATAATAATCCTAAATAGTTAATACATTAAAACCCTTTGAAAGAAAAAAAAATCACTCGATGCAATGTATACTACTAATGTTTAGATTTCAAACAATCTTGAAATTCAATCATTCTCTTTATTTATCATTCCTCCTCCTCTTTCTTCTTCCCTCTTCATATATCTCGTTTCCAATTGTAGCTCGAATGTTTCGAGTGGTTCAAAAGTAACGAATATGACCAGATAGTAGTACATAGGGGGCTATTAGCATAACGCAATAATAAAGTCTATTCTATTTATAATTCCGCTTTCATAACACGTACAGGTGAAGTTAACGTGCCGTGCAAGAGGCGTTCCCCCGCCCCGCGTTCTCTGGCGTAGAGAAGACAGCAAGGGTATTATAATTCGGGAACCAGCAGGAAGTGCTTTGAACCAGAAGTCTCACGGTAAGATTTAATATATATCCTACCGTTTCTCCATGTAAAGTAGAATGTACGTATAATTGTGCTCTCCTCAGACGCAATCGTGCCACTCGTGAATATTCAAATGTTCTCTTTCTCTCTCTTTCTTTCTCTCTTTCTTTTTCTATCTCTCTCCCTCTCACTCACTTTCTCTTTCTGTCTTTCGTTTATAAGTACCTACGGAATAATTACCAAGAAAATTTAATTAACTTTCTAAAACAACCGATATCAACATTTTTCCTACAATAGTTTAACAACTAAGGCTAACTGAGTCTTAATAAGCGATTTCATGAATGGCAAATCACTGATGGCTTTTACTTTATCTATATATCGACCCAACCTATATATACATGTACGTAAAATTTATTATGTATTTATTAATTTATTTATTTAATATCTAATTTAATATTATATATTATTTATAATGTTTAATATAAGGTTTTATTTGATATAATGAAATTGGATAAAATTCGTAAGTATATTTATAATCATGTAAATTAATAATTAATACTCGTCGTGTTTTTATGTTAATTTAAATGTCGTAATTTTTCACACAATATACACTCATCGTAATTTCCAAATCAAGGCCATGCAAACGCGTTCCGATTTGTCCTTTTGTTATCTATATATACTAATTATCCCCCTCTAGTCTCTTTTTCGTATATTTTTCGTAGATAGTTTTTTCCAAACTTCTCGGTCATTTTCGAACATAAAAAAAATCCAGATTATTGTTTTACTTCCGATAGGAAATACTCGAGAGATTTAAGTACCATAAACTCTTACAAATAAAACGCATGCGTTCTCGTCCAGTGATAAACAGTCTCTTTCATCCTACAATAAATTATCACACACTCATACTTTTATCACTAAAACGCGATAAATAAGTAATAACATTTCCTTAACAGTACTTATAAGGAAATATTTCTAGAAATATCGATACACACACCCTTCTAATACTTAACCACTTCTCGTTATTTACGTCTTAAGTTTCTTTTCTTTCATACGAGACAGAAAACACCACCTCTCTGGTAAGTCTCAAATTTTCTCTCACCCTCACATGTAATACATAGGTATATATTACACACATGTTATATCATATCAAATATTTTATATGATTTTAATCGACTAGCCAAGTGTTTATATTCATTCAAAATGTATTAGTTCGAATTATATTATTATTATTATTATTATTATTGTTATTATTATTACATATTTTATATTTAATATACGTTAGCTTATAATCAGGATTATAATTACATGGTTTTAGATTGATATTACTAATATATATTTGAATGATTATTAACATTTGTAATTTTATTCGATTGAAACTTACTTTTCTTTTTTTTTCTTTTTTTGTTTTATTTTCATTTATATTACATTATATTTTCGAATGAAATATTACGAGGAAACGAGGTAACGCAATGTTGGAAACAATTAATACGAGATTTACGTGCGCGTGACTTACATTATATACGAGAGAGTGAATGAGAGAGAGAGAGAGAGAGAGAGAGAGAGAGAGAGAAAACACAAAATTACGATCGATATATTCGCATAGGAAAGAAGTTTTCTATTTAAAGATTCATAAAATAGCGAATCAGGATTATATCGACTATTAAAACCACCCTCCGGTACTTTTTTAAATATGTATCGTCCTTTTACCATTTAACGTTAACCGGAACAAAAAGGATAGAAAAATAAAATGAAGTAAAACAACAGAGAAAGAGAGAGAAAGAGAGAGAGAGAGAGAGAGAGAGAGGGAATCAACCGAAAAAAAAGAAAAAGAAACGATACGAGCTTTTTCATTTTCCAGCCTTCCCTCTCCCACTCTCAACCTCCTCATTCTCTTTCTCTTATTTTTTTTATATTTTAATTTTTTTATTAAGTGAAAAAAGTTTAGCCTCCGTTCATTCGAACACACAAGAAATAAAAGAAAAAGAAAAAGTAGAAGAAAAGAAGTAGAAGAAGAAGTAGTAGCTTTCATTTTTATTATATTATAATGCTCCAGAATGTGAATTCAAAAAAAAGTTTCTTCTCAAGGTAATATTAATAAATCAATTATTCTTCTTCCTCGAGAACTTTATTTTTTAAAGTAATTGTTATTTATCCGTTTATTTCCTCCGTCCCCTCCCCCTCTCCCTCTTATTATAAGAAAACAAAAGTGAAAAGAAATTAATCGATTTATCAAATCACTTATAAACCACCGTCAAACCTTCCCTACTTACTCAACCACTCTCTCTCTCTCGAAGTATTTCAAATAAATTGTGGACTTAAAAAAAGTTCATCGTATTATTTTCTATTGTAACGATATAATCGAACAGATTTGATTGTCAAGATTTTCTTTCATTATTATTATCGTTTTTGATTTTATTTTATTAGATCGATCTATCGAGAAAATATTTGTTTGTTGAAAACAAACATCTTTCTCTCTCTTTTTGTTTCTTTTGACAGTCTGCAAAGACTCTTCTCGTTCCTTTCTTTTCTTTTCTTTTCTTTTCTTTTCTTTTCCCTTTTCCTTTTCCTTTTCCTTTTCCTTTTCTTCCCTTCCTTCCGGTTTTGAACCCGATGTAAACGAGGTACTTAGTATTCACAACGGCATGGTGTTACTAATGGCGGGCAAATTCCGTTGCACTATCAGACACAGTTGCAGCACGATGTATATGACTCGAGACATTGCGACACATGGCAAGAGCACTTTTATACTTGCAACGAAAGCAGAACCACCCCCATCTTCATCCTCCTTCCTACCATTCAGTATAGTTTCCACTATCGGACCACTGCTACTACGATAGCACTGATTTTTCAGTCATTATTATGCGAAACACGTTTACCCTTCTAAATCTTTACGATTGACCTACGCCAACCCCTATCACCACCAATGCCCTCTCTCTTCTACCCATAAGAATAAGACAAACGTTGTACTAATAATTAAGAATATTTTTTGTTTGTTTTTAAATACAAATCGTTTCCTGGATATTATACTAAGCTTGAAAAAAAGAAAACAAAATAAATAAAAACGAGAATCGTAAATAAATATTCCGTAAATAAAAATTTTGCAAATTATTTTCATCATATTTGTTATTATTTTTTTTTTTTTGTAAATATGAAAGAAAGATAATTAGATTATTTTTCTTGTATTAGAAAATAATTGAAATCATTTGCTTATTTAAAACAAAAACAAAAATCCCCCCTAAAAAATTATATATATATATATATATATCTTAATTAAAACAGTGATACTTGTATTGTTTTTAAAATAATAACAACTTGTTATTGAAAATTAATCTTAACGAGGTATAAAATAAGACTAAAAAAAAAATATAAGTATGCTTAATTTCTAAAAAAAGTAAAATAAAAAAAAAAGAATTAAGTCTTGCATTGTTAAAAGTATCTAATATTGTTTTATTAAAAAAAATTCAATGAAAAAAAAAAAAGGAAAAAAAAGAGAGTAAATGGAAAAATGTTGAGAACACGCGGCGGCACCCCCATAGCCGTTTTCGTAAGAGTAACGCGTCCTTGCTCTTTTTCCATCCTCCTTCGAAGAGGATAGAAGAACGTTGCTCCAGCACTCACGCAAGATCTTGAAAATGTTCACGTCTACAAGCTGTCCTTCTCTATTCTCTCCTCCTCCTCCTCCTCCTCCTCCTTCTCCTCTTTCCCAGCACACCTCCTTGTCCTCCTCCTTCACGCTGTCGCGGATTTCAAGCCGCGGATCTTCTCAATTTAGCTGAAAATCTGACTTTGGTCTTCTACTTGAGATTACGTTCAATTCTAAACCGTCTTGTGGTGTGGCATACAAACACGAGCCCCGCTTTAATGAGCCATATACCTCGCGACATCCTCCCCCTCCTCCTCCTCCTCCTCCTCATCATCATCATCTTCCTCCTCATCCTTTTCTTCATCCTCGTTCTCATACTCTCGACTAGGATCTCCCTTCTCGTACTCCTCAACGTCCTCTCATCGTTGTTGGTGGTGAATCACAAGGAAACTCTTGCACGGTTTAGCGGTTAACGCTTTCCCTCTTCTTGATGTTACCGTCGTCCTATCAACATTTTCTCTCCCTCGCTATCACCCTCCTCCTCCTCCTCCACTTCTTCCAAACATCTCCCACTTTTCCTACTCCCCCGTCCTACCGTTTCCTCTTCGAACTACTTAACAATGGAAAGCATTAAGGTGACTTAATAGTCACGTGCTCTCTTTCCTCTCTCCCCTCCTCCTCCTCCTCCTCCTCCTCCACCTCCTTTTCCCTCTTTTAACTCTTCCTCTTCCTTTTTCTTTTTCGAATTTAAGCGAACACACTTAGATAAACGCGAAGACAACCTGTCCTTTCTCAAAGTGTTATCATTTTTCTTCCTCTACTTCTACTTCTACTTCTACTTCCACTTCTTCTTCTTCTTCTCTCTTGTTTTTTTATTGTTCTTGTTCTTTTCTCGCTTGTTGTTATTCTTCTTCCATTTTTAAAAATCGCGTCTAAGCACAAGCGCGTGCTTTTTTTTCTGTTGTATTTTAATTTTTTTCCACCCATATCTTTTTTATTTTCTTCTTTATTTTTTCAGTTTCTGAAGTAATTCACGGGGAGGAATTAAAATTAACGAAAATTTCTAGGACCGAAATGGGCATTTATTTGTGTATCGCCAGTAACGGAGTACCACCGACGATTAGCAAAAGAATTTCTATAAACGTTCATTGTAAGTAATTAAATGTAATTTAAATGAAATTCTCTTCTGCGTACAAAGGTTTCTGAGGTTTTACTCACCGAGGCAAACTGCATCAGAGTTTATATACTATCCATGAAAAATAAGAAACTAATGTGTTAAATACTAAATATATTGCATGGATGATTTATCCAAATAATAACTAACTTCGATCATATTTTATAGTAAATTGATTTATATATTAATTAATAAAACTATCTTAATAATTTGATAAATTTTCATTAAATAATTATTTTTGTAATTAAATATATTGATTATATTTCTTTTCAGTTCCTCCTTCTATTCATGTACCTAATCAACTTGTTGGAGCACCTTTAGGTACAGATGTTGTCTTGGAATGTTACGTCGAAGCATCTCCCATGTCGATTAATTATTGGGTAAAGGAAGGTATATAAACATATTTCAAACGATATCTTTTCCATTTTGATTATATTTTTCATTTTTATTTTTCAAAATTACATTACATCAAGAAAAATGTAATATCAAATCTAAGCACACAATAATATGAAAAATAATACGAATTGGAATATTAATTTTATATTTTATATTCAGAATCATTAAAAATTAAAAAATTATCTATTTAAAAGAAACCAAAAATTATTAATATTAAAAATGTCGGATAAAAGAAATTAATTTTTTTTTATTTAATAATTATTATCATTATTAATACTGCTACGTTTGATTTTGATCGAATCTTGAAAAAAAAAATTAAGAAAAAGGATTTACTTGAAAGACGTAAAAAAAAAAAAAGAAAAAATAGAAAAAACATTCGATAAAATCGAAAGATGATTTTTAATATAAACAAATGTTGTATATTCCTCACTTTTCGTTTTGTCTTTGGAAAAAAAGGAACGATGTTAATAACCAGTACGCAACACGTAGTCGAGATGTCCGAAAAGTCACCATTCGAAGTACGTATGACACTGTTGATAAAGAATCTTCAAAAGGAAAACGTTGGAACGTATCACTGTGCAGCGAAAAATTCTCTCGGCGAGGTTGACAGCACGATTCGTTTGTACGGTAAGTGAAAAAACTTAACTCACCGAGAAAATAATAAAAAAAAAAATGAAAAAAGAAAAGAAAGGTAGAGAAAATAGATAAGAAATAGAAAAGGATAAAAGAAGAAATAGAAGAAGAAGAAGAAGAAGAAAATGAGAATGAGAGGAAGGATAGGAGAATAATGGAGAAATGTATTGAAAACGATATGTCTCCTTTCTTCTTCCTTTATTTATTTCTTCATTTCTTTCTAACTTTCCCTTTTCTTTATTTATATCTTTCTTTCTTTCTTTTCTTTATTTTCTTTCTTCCTATAACATTTTCTATGGACACAATAATCTTTCAGAACGATTTATCTCTTAACAAATGTCTTCTTACTTCACATTAATTTTATCTTATTTAATTTTATCTTATTTTATTTTATTTTATTCCCAATATTTTTTTTTTTTGTATAATCGTCATTGTATTCGTACATTTATTCATTCATTCATTCATTCATTCATTTATTTATTTTTATCGTTATTAACGACACAATAATTTTTTCGAAACAATTCGTCTTGCAAAAAAAGCCAATATCATTTTTATTACATATTTATTTTATTTTCTATTTATTTTATTAACAATTTTTTTCATTTATTATCACCACCTTTTCATTGCATCGTTGCATCTATTTATTTATTTATATTGTTACTGTGTCGTTATGTTACTGTCGATTCAATTACAGAAATACCAGGACCAGCTAAAACGGAACTGGCTACATGGTCTTCCATATACGACGATGATAATAATAATAGGATCCCTTATGGTCAAGGAGAGATGGATAAGACGGAAAACAATTCTGCTCATATGGAAATCTCTCTTTTACATGGTTCGAACCATCACGCACGACTACCACCAACTTTGGCTACGGAATTGCCTACCTCCGTCAAAATTGGCAAAAATCGGCCAACCGTGAACGTATCCTCCTATGCTACAGATTTCACCATCAAACATAACACTTTACTTTTATTATTATCATTATTATCATTATTATTATTATCGTCCTCATCATCCTTTTTATTATCATCACCAACACCACCATCCCCAATACCATCATTATTATCATCATCATCGTCATCATCGTTCACGATTACTGTGACACGGTGGTCACAGTGATGACTATATGATTATCAAAATCCTAGAAATCGAACTAAACTGAACAGCTGATCGTTGAATTTAATAATTTATTCAACGTTGCATACAGGTTTGCATATGTATATCCAACATTAACAATCATCATAGAAAGGAAAAGAAATTTGTTTAGTAAACGTTGATAACAAAATTGATCATCATCATCATTATCGTCGTCTTTATCTTCCTTGATAATTATTTTATTTTGTTTTTATGAATATAAGAGATGCTTCCTCATATTTGTATAAATTAAATAATTTCGAGAAAATGATGGGGGTTAAACAAAAACGAAAAAATGAATAAAAGAAAGAGAGAGACACACGATGAGCTTGTTAATACCTGTTGGGGGAAAAACCCATTGAATGTGTGTATAAGTAGGGTACATATGTGAAACGCGTTTTCGCCTTGTAACATAATATCAAATTCGCGTTTTTTATTATTCGAGTTTCACAAAACCGACATTTCTCACTATAAGAACAAAAGGTTAAATAATCGCATAATCTTTTGAGCTCAAATTTATTCTTTTTTATTATTATAATATATATA